CACGTGGGAGGCCCTGGTGTGATCCCAGAACCACAAATTAAAAAAAAAAAAAAAAAAAGGCTGGGGGCAAGGTAGAAGGAGCTAACACAGAACCTACGGCAGAGGGAGCCGCAGCAACAGTGTGTCCCACGGTGGCCCTGGGGCTCCTCAAGCCTCAGTTCTCACCCTCTGCAGCCTGACTTACCCCTGGGATGAACAGGGCCTTCTCAGCTCTCAGAGGGGGTCCCTTCCCTTCACTGGTCTCCCGCAAGAGCATTTTCTCAGGCAGACAGCAGACACAAAAGGAGATTCTAACTTGAGAGAAGCCTGAGCCCGGGATCACGTCTCCACCTCCCTGGGCACCACAGGGTGCCCAACTGTCCTGTTTTGCTCCAGACAGAGAAGTTTCCTGGGTCAGGGCACCTTCAGTGCAAACCAGGACAGACCCACGAAAAACCAGAATGGTTGGTCACTGCGCTGGCATATTCTCAAGGTTGAGCAGGTGGCATGGTCACATGTGACCTAACAGATGGCACTATTTTATTATTAATCATTAAGTGATTGAAACTTTCCAATTAAAAGTTTCACATAGGTAGTACTGAATACTGAAATTAGGAATTTTACTGCAATTAACCTGGGCTGATAAATACTTGAGGGAGGGGGGGTTGTTTGTTTGTTTGTTTGTTTTGCAGTCCTGGGTTTTGAACCCAGGGGTGCTTTACAACTGAGCCATACCCCCAGCACTTCATTTTATTTGAAGATAGCATCTTGCTAAGTTGCTGAGGCTGGCCTCAAACTTGTGATCCTCCTGCCTCAGCCTCCCAAGTCACTGGCATTACAGGCGTGCACCACCATGCCTGAGAGAATCTTTTCCTTCATTCTTTCAGTTACTGTTCCTTTTCTCTCTTCTTTCTACCCATACACTGTGCTGTATGAAGTTAACAGTACCCCATGCCACAGAGTTCTGTACTAATTCCCATGTGAAGCAATTATCTTACTGAGATCTCAGCAACTCAAAGAAATATCTCTGAAAAACTGTTTAATTAACCCCAGCAGAAAAAAGAATGGAGAATACAAAGAAATAAACAAACCAAAAAAAAAAAAAACCTGAAGTAGGCATGGACTGTGGATTACTTTTAACACATAAAAATTTCTCTTCCACTAGACATTATTCAAAATACCCAGTTTCCAGTGTTTACAAAAAAAAAAAAAAGTACTATCAACCTTCTCTTAATCACTCTTAATAAAAGATCTAAAACTGGGTAGTTTCATTTAAACACTGCATACACTTTTGACTGGGTAATAAGTAAAAAGTAGTATTCTTTGAAAAATACTACAAACAACAGGCAGATTGCAATTTCAGAAGTAGGTAAGGAGCACTGTACTCATATCCATCAGCATCATCTCCCATTTCTATTTTCTGTTCTTAAAAAGAAAGAAAGAAGTTCTCATTCCCTTACCTACAGTTACCAACTGACCACTTTCCTCATAATCTTTTTCTGCTCTACCATTTGCTGGAAGGACACCTCTCCCTTTGGGACCTTTCCCTCCTGATCTCCTACCATTATTCACTTCCTGACTCAGGAACTAGACTCACAGCCTAAGGCAAAGCTGTAAACCAACAAGGTGTTTCTCCATTTCCCCCCTCCCTGCCTCCTTCAGCTCCTGGTGACTAAATATTCCAGGTAATGTTCTAGCTCACTAACAGACACCCTCTTGACTCAGGACCCAGAGGTCCCAAAACTTAGCTTCTCTGAGATAAGAAAATTCCTAGAAAATTTGGGTAACAGTAAATCACAGCTAATTTGGAATATATTAACTTATGACATGAATAAGAGATGAATGATTTTTAGCCCGAATGTATCTTTTATTCAATTACTAAAAGAGTTTGCTGAGGGCTGGGGATGTGGCTCAAGCGGTAGCGCGCTCGCCTGGCATGCGTGCGGCCCAGGTTCAGTCCTCAGCACCACATACAAACAAAGATGTTATGTCCACCAAATAAATAAATAATTAAATATTTTAAAAAAGTAATAATAATAAACTAGTAAATAAAAATATTTATCCTACTTTATATGTAGTGTAAAATTATATATATAACATATATATTGCAATCTATTTAACTTCTTACAGGTTGGCAAAAGGTAGTGTTTTGAAGCAATGAAAACATTGTTCTTCATTTGCAGGTTCACAACATCTGTTGATGTTTATAAAATTAGGTTACATTTTCATGCTGCATTTGGGCATTATGGATTTCATTATCTCAGTCTTATCATGCTTCGGTTTTACTAAATAATATTTGCTGGGCCATTGGTAAAAAGAAACCAAAATTGTCACACATACATAAACATTTAAGAAACATTGTTACTAATAAAGGATAATCCTTCTTGATTCTTTTTAACCTACTGTCCCATAAATCTTCAGTGCCTACAGGTTTATGCAATCAATCCCAATGAGAAAGACAGAAAGTTAATAAAACCATTAGCAAATAAAGCCAGACAATTGCAATCTCAATATCTCTCTCTGTCTCTCTGTCTCTCTCTCTCTCTCGCACGCACAGGTCATACTGTTTGTAGAATCAATTTGTTTTCAGTAAGAAACTAATTTGCCTGATTTCACACTACCAGTTGATCGTGTTACCCTAAAATTATCATTTAAAAAGCTGTATTGGAAATTAGATGACTTTTTAATTTAATCTGTTATACACTTTCATTGACAAATTTATCTACACTGACTGGGTGTTAGCAGTAGTACAAATAACCCAAAACAAAGTACTTTTTAAAAAAATATTGTTTGGAGCCAGGTGTGGTAGTGCATGTCTATAATCCTAGCAGCTGGGTAGGCTGAGGCAGGAGGACTGCAAGTTCAAAGCCCTAAGCCACTCAGTGAGACCCCATCTCTAAATAAAAAACAAAAAGGGCCAGGGAGGTGACTCAGTGATAAAGTACACCTGGGTTCAATCCCTGGTACCAAAAAAAAGTATTGTTTGGCTTTTGACATTGTACCAATTCATGGAAATTGCTGTTAGATTTTTTGGTCAAGAAGTTGGAAATAAAAGGAACAAGACTGCTTTCTGAGAGTTAAATTTTAAGATTATATATGATGGGTAAGGACAGAAATAAGCAAAACCACCTTTAAAACACAAGCTTGTCTGACTTAACTTCAACTTGATTTTTATTGAAAGAACAGTGCTAAGAGGTAGCTATGGAAACAGAGGAAGGAACATACAGGGGCTCTTCAGGGCTGGCAGCCAGTCAGGTGCTGATGAGGAGGGAAGGAGCCTAAATGAAGAGCACAGCATGACGTCCCTAGTATATTGGAGATCAATGTAGGAAATTGCAACCACTGGAAATTGAGTACACATTTCTACCTTCGGGACAAAAATCATCCTGCTTTAGAAATAGATGAATCAAAAAATAGATGAATCAAGGAAAGTCTATTCATACAACTCCAGTTGTTCTGAATCTACGCTCATCAAGCGCCTTCCGATGTTTCATTTCCTGAGCATGTTTGGCTGTACAGAAAATGCACTGGCTTTGCAATTGTGAGGACTCAGCTATATAAATTATAGCTCTTGGAAATTAAGAAATTAATATTCTGTTTGTATATCTCATTATTTTGGCTAATGTAAGCTCAGTTGATTGTTGGAGGTGTTCTATATTGTTCAAGAAAGACATCTTAAGACCAGGGTATTCTAGACCATATCCCAGAAGACTGTGGGAAATTCACATATAATGCTTGTGGATACTGCTGGGGACAGCCAGCAGGCTTTCTCCTGCTGACACCAATCAGCCCAGCTTTTCCATTTCAAATGATCACTAAGGGGGAGGAGGGGGAGGAGTTCAATGCTAACACTTGCTTAACTATTTTCTAGCAAGGCCCTGGGTTTGATCTCCAGCACCAGGAAAAAAAATCATCAATATCAATTTTTACCTATTATTTTCTTTATTCTAACTATAATTAGATTGCTGTAGTGATATTCCCATGAAAGTACACCAGCCATTGGTGTGGAAGGCGGAAGATGGCTCAAAGCAGAACAGGTGACAAGAAGTCCTTGGACTTAAAATATATCAAAGACAGTTCAGTTTACAAATTGGACAATACTACCCATCCACCATAGATTCACTACATTTTTTTTTTCTTTGAGGTGGTGGGGGCGGTTTGCTGAGATTGAACCCAGGGCCTCAAGCATGCCAGGGAAGTGCCCTGCCACTAAACAGGCTTTACGTTTTTGAAGGGATGGGAGGTCTGGTGAACTTAAGTGTTACTGTTCCCCTTTCACCATCAGTTACTCTTTTATAATGTACTGAACACAGTAATAAGCCCTTTATATGCATTTTTTAATTCTTAAAAATCACTGAGGGAGGTGCTCTTATCCTCAATTTGCAAGTGAGGAAATGAAATTTGAGGAATTAAAAGGAACTTCACAATTTTTTTGAGAGAATTTTTTAAATGTTTATTATTTATTTTTTAGTTTTCGGTGGACACAACATCTTTATTTTATTTGTATGTGGTGCTGAGGATCCAACCCAGTGCCCTGCGCATGCCAGGCGAGCGCGTCACTGCTGGAGCCACATCCCCAGCCAGGAATTTCACAATTTTATAGCACTGCAAAATTGTAAAGTGAAGTAGCTAAATAAGACAGCACTGTTAGCACTGTAAACTGTGCCCCCCCCAACTCCAGATGCGGTATTGTCATCATTACAGTCACTTCCAGGTGCCCTCGTCTCCCCACCTTGCACTCGCCTGGCAAAACCCAGCACGGTGAGCACTACTGTCCATCTTCTCTGTAGCTCGCTGAACCCAAGAGCTGAACATCGTCAGAGAAATCGTGTAGATAGGCCGAAGGGCTTATTTTACGTCCATAATCACAACGCGCTCCCGGGAGAGAGCTCCTAGTCTTCCTCACACTAAGGTGGCTTTTCCCACTCTCTGAAAACTCCCTGCACACCATGCCCTCTCTGCTTGCTCCCTACCTCACGGGGAACATTCTGCCACAGTGCTGGTTGGACCAATTTACATACCTATCCACAAGACACCACAGGGATCATCTCACTGAGGCATGCCAATTTGTAACTGCAGTCAACTCAAGGTTTCTGGAATCCTCCCAGGTTACAGATACAGCCTGCAAAGATGCCTACACTTGCAGGAACTCCCTCCATCCAGAAGGAGGCACCGTTGCACTCCATCAGCGTCGGGCCGCCACGGAGGCGTCACGTGATCTGCGCCGGAGGGCGGTCTTGCGCGTTGCCTTCCGTACGTAGCGTCATGACGTAGCACGTAGGGGCTGGCTAGCCGCCATCTTGCTTCTTTTTCTCGCTCACTCTCTCCCTCTCGGGAAGGAGCGAAAGTGCTTTGGCGGTTTGTCCGTCCGCAGTCTCTGCTTTCGCAGCCCGGCGGCCTTTCCAGCCACCCCCCCCAACCCCAAGTCCCCCTCCCCTTCCCTTGATCAGAGCTCGGCGGCCGCTCGAACTGTGCTAACCTGACACTCACCCTGGCGGGTAAGGAAAGCGAGGGCGGCGGGGCCGCGATCAAAGAGGGCCCGGTCGGGAAGGGCCGGCGTGGGGCGGCCTGGGGCGTGGGAGCGCATCCAGACCGGGCCGCGGGGGGCGGGCGCCCGCTTTCACCTCGGTGGCCATCGCCTCCGCGTCCGGGGAGGTCGGCCTGCTCGCGGAGCGGGAAACCGGAGCCAGACCCGCCCCACGCGGTCCGCTGCGGGAGCGCTGCCGGCCGCGCTTCGCTCCCCTCCCCGGCCCGGGCCCTGCGGGAGTGCGCGCGCCGCGGTGAGCGCAGGGGGTCTGCGGCCCGCCGAGTGGAGGCCGCGTCCCCTCGCGGCGCGAGGGCTGCCCCAGGCCCGCACCGTGCCTTGGTGTGCGCGGACGGTAGGCTTTGCAGAGGGCGGTGGGGAGAGCCCTGGTTCAGGACCGGATTCGGCGAGAGGCTCTTCGGGGACTCGGCTGCAGCCCGACTTCCGCTAGGGACGGGCCGCCCCGCTCCTTGGGAGGGTTCGGGCTGCTCTTGCTCGCGGTAGGCCGCTCCATCCCCCTAATTTGCGAGGTGGATCCCACTCGGCTGCTTCCTGTCTTGAGATAGCACCGATACTACACTATTGTTTTTGGGGTAAAGGCGCCACTTAGGATCGGAGAAAAGAGCGTGCGGGCTAAGGAGGACTTCGGTGGGTTGGTTTCCTTTGCACAAGAGGAGCCTGTCCAGTTACTTTTAAGGAACGTATATTTATTTTAACTTAAGATCTTTTGAGCGTCTGAAATATCTACTGTTCCCAGGCTTCTGAAGCTACCCGGATTTCCGCATTGGCCGGTCTTCAGCCTGGGTTCTTAGATTCATACCTCTACTGGGTACTTGGGAATTGTACCGGAGGCTGCCCTGCTGTAGGATTTTCATTTGGAATGCACCAGAATAATCGGAGGATTCTTGATTAAGTGCTTGATAGCTTGCTCCTGCAAATAAAAAGGATAAGGTGATATTAAGCGCCTACCAAATCTCAAATCCAACATTTTTTTAAAAAGTAGATTTAACCTCCTATGTTGGTAATTAAGATGCTGCTGTGAGTGGAGCCATTTTTAGGTGTGTGTCATAGATGCACTGCAGCATCTTTTCTGGCTCGCCCCAAATGCACTGATACCCTAAGAAATCAGGAGTAGGTTGAATTTGAGTTGTATTTTTTAAATGTGGTAAAATAGTAACTCCTTTTTTTATAACGGAATTTTCGGAGTACAGGCTTTATGTTTTTGAGGGGATGGGAGGTCTGATGAACTTAAGTATTACTGTTCCCCCTTCACCATCAGTTGCCCTTTTACAATCTACTGAACCGGGTAATAAGCCTTTTATATGTATTTTTTAATTCTTAAAAATCATTGAGGGAGGTGCTTTTATCCTCAATTTGCAGGTGATGAAATGAAAGGAATTTCACAAAGGTCATTTAGCAGTAATTGGTGGTACTGTGTATAATCTCAAGCCCATACTGTAAACCCAAAGGGGATGCTGTAGGCACCAAATGCCTCCTTGTTCCTTGTAAAAATTGTAATCTGAAATAGCTAAATAAGACAGCACTGTTAGCTGGTAGTTTTTCTTTAGCTGACTTCAGTATATGAACATAGTTGCATGTGAAGGTTACTGTTGCAAGGTGTTAAAAATGGGTTATATCTACTTTGTGGGTGGTAGAAGCCAACTTTTAGGTGTTCTTTACTTTTTTAAAGGCCTGTCCAGTGTGTAGAGATGATTTTTGCTCTACATTATCACATATAATTTTATGTGATATTTTTTTGGTAGAAAATACCCTCATCAATAAAATGGGAATGATGATAATAGTACTGCTCAAAGACTTTGAATTTTTTAAAAACATTTGTTTTAGTTGTTGATGGACCTTTATTTTATTCATTTATTTATATGTGGTGCTGAGAATTGAATCCAGTGCCTCACACATATGAGGCAAGTTCTCTACCAGTGAGCCACAACCCTAGCCCTTTCTGTTGAGTAAAGAGATTTATTACTGTACTTAGTAATACTGGAGGGAGAAGGGTAGAATATTGGTAAAATATTCTCTTCCAAGCAGAATGGCATGTATCTTTCTTTGGTACGTAAATGTTTTTTTCTTCTCTCCTTTTCTTTACATTTACATACTGAATTTTATTTCTTCATGCTCTACAGTAAATATCCCTAGGGTACTGGGTATCTTGTTCAAAATGAAATTTTGTGAAATTTTTTTGCTTCATTCCAGTCCCCTATCTCTTTACCCACCTCCTTACTGGTAAAATGCCTTTGAAGATTTTATAATATCCCTGAGTGCCTCCCCCAAGCACAGTTTCAGCTTGTAAGTCAGCTAACTTGTGTTTTTATCCCGTTTAAGTCATACTGTGATAAACAAGGGTTGGTGATTGATAAAATTGGTGAATTAATTACATAAATTTGTAGAGAACTTGTGTTCTTAAAGTAAAGGAGATCCAAAAGTTTTGTCGATTATGACTAACATACTTTCATTTCTGTAATACAAGGCTTGTCATCTTATGAATAGGGTAAGAATGAAAATTTATCTCAGTCTTAATTGTTACTTAGAAGTCTGAGTTAATGTTAGTTTTCTGAGTCATAGCATTTAAAATTCCTCAGTAATACCAGTCAGAACATCTTTGTGGATCAAATTTTCTATAGAAAATAAATTTTTCTATTGTTTTCTCCCTAGAACAGTTAAATATAAACCTCTTTTTGCCAGTTATAGTTCTAATCCTTATTTTGCTGCAAATTAAAGTAATGCCAGTCATGTTTTGGGGCCACTGTCTCCCTTTAAAGGAGGATGAGATATAACATTTGTGGAGCAAGTCTAGTACAAAAAAACCCAAAAAACTGCTGGATATTATGTAGCATGCTACTAGTAATTTTTCTGTTTACCCTCTGTGTTCCCATATTAGTCTGTTTTCCTTTAGTGAATTATTTCCACGTCCTCATCACCTTGTGTGATGATTGGTGTCTATAGAGCTTGGCATACATTATTGAGTGATTGAGGGTTGGAAACACCAAAGAATAGATCCATAACTAAGGTTAACTGATGAATGTCTTGCTACAGCAAAGGAAATAGTCTATCAATTTTCCCCTCTTTATCCATTGGAAGAATAATGTCACATATCCTTCAAAGAGTTTGTTTATATAATATGCTTTGCAAGATTCATTTGCAGCAGATTTCCTTAATTTATACTTTTGTTCAGCAAAATTAAGGATCCTTTTAGTTTTGTAAGGCCCAGTGAATCAGAGGAAGGACTTTTGTTTCCCACTGCCTAGGTGTCCACAAACTTAAGGAGTAATATGAAAAGATGTCTTGGGGTTAGGGATATAAGTCAGGGGTAGAGTGCTTATCTAGCCTGTGTGAGGGCTTGTATTCAATCCTCAGCACTGCAAAAAAGAAAAGTCGTAATCTTGAGTTAATACCAAAATATGAAAACAAAGGTGAGTCCAGAGATAAAGAAAAATTGGTGCAGAAACTCCATATACAGAAAGCTATCTATAGTAAGGATCAAGTACCTAGTTGATTACAAGTGAAGGCATGATGACTAAGAAGAGCAAGAATAATTCTAATTTTTAATATTTGTTGAGCACTTAACTGTACCAAGCACTGAGCTAAGACTACTTTAGGGGAGTATTTTTTCTAATCCATACTACAAGAAGCCTAGGAGGTAGGTCATTTTATCTCTGGTGTACTACTAGAAAACTGAGATTTAAAGGGGTTTAAGTAATTTCGATTGTTCATGGTTACTTTGCTAGTAAATGGTAAAAGTGGGATTTTGAATCAGTGACCCAGAGCTTAGCTACATGAATTTTGCCAGGTGTGTTGGCGCAAATCCTGTAATCACAGCAACTTGGAAGGCTGAGGAAGGAGGATCACAAGTTCAAGGCCAACCTCAGCGATTTAGCAAGGCCCTAAGCAACTTAGAGATCCTGTCTCTAAAATAAAAAATAAAAAGGGATGGAGATGTAGCTCAGTGGTAAAGTGCCCCTGGGTTCAATCCCCAATACCAATAAAATAAACTATTTGTGTTTCCCAGTGGCCACTATTTTTCAAAATTAAGTTATTCACATTGTTTTACGTTCTCTTCAAATCATCTGTTACTTAATATTTTTAATTGTTTTCTATCTTTTAATTAAGTGAATTTAAAACAAAATTTACATAATTGTTTGGTGTTACTTTTTTTTCTAATCCTCTATCGTGTTTTAAAATAAATGTATAGTCTTAAATACTCCAATTGGGCCACATAAGATAACCTACTATACCACCAGTCTTTTGCATTGTCCTCTTTGGGACATGACTGCTGTAAGAAATTTTGAATACTATGAAGGATCAGGCAATAGTTTGAGTTAATAAAGGTTAGAAGTGATGAAAGTCTGGAATGGAATGGATTCATCAAACAGAAAATGGTTGCATTTACAGAAATAGGATATAAATTCAAGTCTTAACTACATACTTGGAATAACCATTTTCATGATTAACTGCAAAGGAGTAGGTTTCTTTAGGTAAAGAAATGTAATAGGATGTCTAGGATAATCTATGATGAGAAGAACAAAAATTAATATGTGAAGAAGGAAGTCACTATAGAAATTGATTGTGAAGAGAATGCGCGAAATAAGAATCTTTGAAACCAAATGTAGCAGAGTTCAGGAAAATATATGAGAAGTGGCCTTTGGATTTTGTTGAGATTCTTGATAACCCTAAAAGAATTTTAGGTCAAGTAACGAGGATGAAAGGTTAAGGTGCAGGGCAGAGGTTAAGTCGGGAGGCTTGATCTTGTGTTGAATACTCAAAATTAACTCTGGACCAGAAGTTTTAAAACTTAGGTTTAGTCCTTTTTGTCAGTTTGTAACAGCTGTTGACTTTGGGGCAAGTTTCTTGGTGTCTGAGTTTTAGG